ATTGATACTAATCTTCACTGAACCTCTCACATTCACCACGTCGTCAGTAAGCTTCGACGACTTTCTTTTCATATCTATAAACTTCGTCAATTTCGTACTCCGCAATCAATCATTTCCAACTTTGTGTATCAGTGTGTTTTTCCTGTTTTACTTTATTGTTCACCCGTTATTTTTCCCAGCCTCCTTAAGAAAGATTTTAATTTGCCTCGACGTGGATTGACCATCATTAGCCTTGTCTCTTCAATCCCACTGAATGAATTGATAACTAACCTATGCGAACGTCATTTGAATGCATGTGAAGTGTTAGCGCATAAGATTCTCATCGACTCCTCACGTCTGCTACACGCTAACCTAATTTCCTGTTGTTCCCATCCCTCAACTAGATCACACTATCGTTGTGTCCCCTCTAGAATAAACATTTATCGTAACTCCACAGTACCCTCATTAGCACGTATTCTGGTTAACAAAGAACAGGTTTTCATAGAATTTGTTAACATTTTTGGAACCGAAATCTCTTTTTTCATTGTTATTTTCATTTTCTCCCTTGCTCCAAACTGTATATTTTGTAACGGAAATGTGGGCTTCATGCTTGCTCAAGTTATTACAATACAATCCCGAAACGTCCTCGATGAATATCTCTGGGTGACCGGTTTTTCTTAATAGGACATGTTCTCTGATTCTTCTTTCGTCTAGATACATTTCGTTACCGTTGAAGGCCTATTTCTGATCTTCCTAACCACTTGCCGCAGTGAATTACGTGTTGACAAAATCTGCCTTCATTGGTCCCATACTGGAAAGCAGTGTCGAAACAATCGTGTACCGCTTTGAAGTTGTTTGACTTGCTTCCTTGAGACGAAACAATTCAATATTGGATTCAATGCTTGTTCTGTCCCTTTTTCTTTATCTTCTCGTGTTATCTAGGATCCACATTCTCCGTTTCTTGGCATGTTGGCTGGTAGTGGCCGCCGGCCAACTGCTTCTGCCAATCACTTGGGTCGTTGCAACGTGCGTAACCGCGTAACCTCCGTTTTCGATAAGTCCCCGGAACTTGAGCACGACAGCCAATCTCGTCACATCGATCATATTAAAATTCCTCCGCACCACTCGAATGTGGCTACCGATCATGGCTGGGGTCGTGCCAGTTTCGATGTCTTGCCTCGAGTGTTCCCAAGCACGACTTCTACCGGTCCGAACAAATCACTCACTAATTTGCCAGCTACGCGACTTGATCGTTCACCCACCTTGCATGCTGTCGAACGCTTGCCCGTCCAGCATCAGGAGTCTTCCGTTTCTCTGAACCGGGACACTAGTGGTCCCGATGTCGCAGAACAACACAATTCCGTGCATGTAACCTCTCCCGGTCGTCCGCGTCTCCGGTCTGCAGAACAGGTTTCGTCCCGAAATCGTCCCCCGGATTTTTCCTCCCATCCGTCCTTAGCTCTGACTTCGTACAACAACCCGGTGGCCGTGTCCCGAGATGCTTATCTTAAAGTTAGTAAATGATTGTCACTTACCACTCTCGTTGTACGAGGTTCATTTCGATCTGCCTTTAATCTCGTCTGTCGGGAAAACGATCCTCCTGTTCTCTAAATTGTAATGCGCATCATCTCTCCAACTTCAAGCAGGGTACTAACTCGTGTTGTACAGTGATTGGTTAAGTCTTTCTAGCTGCCTTGAACTGTGTTCACCAATCCCCAAATATTTTGGGGTTTAATAGCTTCGGTGCATCTGTAGCGAACTCCAGGCTCTTCGCGAACAGCTTTAGAGGTAGTACATACTTTTCTTTACTAGCGTTCGATTATCCAACAAATCACACGAGCAATTGCAAATGGTAGTTCTTTTCTGCAAGTGTAGCAGATAAGTACACTGCTTTCTGATCTCGTTCTTCTTCCAGTAAAGGAATCCATCTTCACGTTGGTCTATAAATTCCCTATCCTTAGAATGTTTACTCAATCTCGGTCCGAGTTGTTAGGCAATTAAAATAACCTACTGCCTGAAATGCTCATGCGTTGGTCGGAATGGCACACAATGGAAGCCAGTCCTCGTTTCAGAGGTCTGCTTCGATTTTCCATTGTAATGACTGGTGGGTTTGCACAGATGAGTCGGTTGGACAAGTATGAACAACTTGCGGTGGTCGATGAATTTTTACACCAATCTTGCGCATACTGATGCCAGTATTTTCCTAGTTTGCAGCTTCCATAGTCCTGCAATGCGTGTCATTCTTTTGTCTTTTTTGCAAAAGATATATGGTATAACCTTTTATGAACACTTTGAACCCATGCTATCACCGTGATTATTTTCGTCAGCATTAGCAATAATAATTGCGTCAGCAATAGCAGCACAGTTCATTTTTCTGTTCATACCCATTCGTATGCGTGAAATTAATTGTCTGGTTATCATCTCCATTGAACCGCTTTCCGATTTTATCGAGAATCATGAGATGCGAAATCAAACGCTACCGCTAGCGAAACAATGAAATATTGCAGATATTACTTGGTTTTTCTCATTTTCACATTATTGTTTTATCTTTTCACAACGGCCCGTAACATGATCGTCCTTGTGAGTGGAACAAACACATGAATGTTACGTTTGCATTCACACGATTTGCAGCCAATAGCAATAATAACAACAAAATTAGTCATAAGAAGTTCAGGGGAGGACTTAGTCCTATCACGCAAAGGGAACATGGATTGAAAAACTGACGAGTGTTGTACAGCCATTTCACCCTTTTTAGTTTTACCAAATGTATGAATCCACTGACCCCAGCAGAGTATCACATATCCATCCATCCGTCCAAATTATAACCGCGAATCTGGGAGCTCACAGAAAAATCATCAATGTAGTAGCCACTTCAGCACTGGTAGCTGATCAGACTGTTTCGTTTTGTTCGTATGAGATATAACACGACGATCGTTTCAAGCTTATTGCTCCCGTTTCACTTCGTTCATGATTGCACTGACCTGCAACGTGTCTGAACCTATCAGGAACAGTTGATAGCTTGTTCACAGGGTAACCTAGCAGTACCGCGCCCCCGAGCAAATCAGGGACCTTGTTCTTTTTATGAGCTATTGGGTATACAACCTGGGTTCAAACGTGTTTAATATAGTAATGCAGGAATTATTAGGATACTCAGTTAGAATACCGGGGAATTCTCGTCGTTTACGGACGAAAATAAATATGAAATGAAAAACAAGATGAGCGCATAGCCTCGATGTGACCTGTTCTATGCATAATTCTACTCTCTGATTACCACTGATGCATACGAGAAATCAGACACAGGGACAAGTAAACCTTGTGTCTGAAAAAAACTAACCTCATTCTGTACGTTGGTTTGTTTATTTTCATTCCTGTTTCCTTGTTCTTAGGCCACAAAAGATGGTTATTTGAATCGTACTGCAGAGTCAGTGGGCTCCTCGGATCAGGTCGTGCACGATTACGTGCCAGAGCCCATCCGCTCCTATTATAATCCCATATTTTATGCCCATTCCGGAGAAGCAAATGAAATGGTCAAGCCATCCACGGCCTCACTTAATCCGGTCGAAGTCGAAGAGTTTCTCCGACATACTGCTCGTTTAGTTGGTACCCCAGTGAGCGATCGACCGACCGATGAAAATGATCGTCAAGAAGACTTGGATGAGGGAGAAGAACCCGAGAATGAAATTAGCGTCTATCGGCAGTATCGCGTCCCTCATCCTTCACGAGAAGAAGAAGGTGACGGTATTACTCTCGTCCCCGTCGATCGTTGGGGTCCACGAATTGCAGAGGAAGATGCAGAAGAAAATCCGAATGATAATGCCGATGATGACTATAAGGACGATGATGAGGAGGATATTGACATTGTTGTTCCTCCGGCTATCCCCCCACGTTCAGGAAATCGCATACAAGTAAGTCCAATTGGTTGTCACTTCACTCTGTATAAGAATTTAACCGATGGAAAAAGGGATCAGTTAAACTTGGTGTTCTATCACCTCATCGGTAGTCGCTTATTGGTACACCTGATTTTGCCGTTCTAATCTTCCCTCCGATCCTTCATCCAAATGGATAATCGGTGCACCGAAGTGCATGGTTAACGGTTATCAAAACTGGAACGGAAACTTTTGGTACACGCAAGCCTGAAATCGGAAATCCGCGTGATTAATCCCTGCTTGTCTCCTCAGGCGGCATGTGCTACACAATTACCGTGACACAGTAAAATAATTAAATCCCCATTATAAGAGAGCTTACGTCGGATACTGTTTGGAACAGGCCTCCGAAATAGTGACAGCGATAAACACAGCCCAAACCAGCTCAACGGTAGATTGAAAACTGTGCCGGTACCGATCATCATCATCATCATTATCGTACAGCGAGATACGGTGGTGCGAACTCCGCTGATCTCTACCAAGCTCACAATTTACACGAAGCAAGTGAGAAAGTACAAGATAAATGGGGTTGGAGCCCAATTGGAAGGAGGCAAACAAAGTGAACCTCTATGATCAACACATAAAGTGCACGATCTAACTGCGCATACATACCCATTCTGACCTGATAATAAATGAAAACACTAACTCTCCTATTGTCGGTTGGTTGACATATCCTTTAGTGTTCCTAACCTACCATTTGCGAAGTATTTTAGACCCCAACCTGGAAGACGGGAGGATAAATATATCATGAGTTGAGTTTCTTCATTATAATCTGTTCGAGATGCGAGGTGCAAGAAAAGGGTAACTAGCGAAACCCGAGACACCCGCCACCGATCATGTTTAGGCTTTTGGCGGCCGTCGCTACATTCGGCTGTTTGTGAAGGGTTGAGTGTATACTGTAGCAGTTTTTCCAATGCTGCTATATGGTACATATATTTGACCGTTTCTGGAATAGGGTTAAGAGAAACTTGGTGTTCGAACACCGTTGCGTACCCTGCATTACGCGAGTTTGGTGGGGCAACTGAATCAGCAATACTTTGTTCATTCGCTGGGCATCCAACAATCTTGGTTGTTCACTGGATGGGTGGTAGATTTCCATGGATATCGTTGGTTGCCATGTTGTCAAATAGACTGCGTCAACTTGCGACCTTCTCCGAGTTGAGTAGTGTTTGAAGGAACGTAAACGATGTCAAACGAAAACCGGGCCCGAGGGTATGAAAACACCAGCTCAAAGACTTGTAGGTTGTGATGGGATTCTTAGTTCGGGCCCTCGGGGTCAGCGTAACCGATGTCTGGGTATCAAAACCTCAGTATGTTCGAGGTGGTTGACTCGGATCTTGGCTGGTCACCACTCCCATACAACTCGTGAAATGCTCCTTTATGAACAAGTGTCTCAAAAAACCTCTGCTGATGAAGCTCTACTCACTGCCTTTCCGTGGCGAAGGTGTTTTCCCACCAAAGTGAGAGACGAAAAGCCGACATCCGGGCTAGAACCGGGTTGGTGAACCATTGGCAGCTCACCTAAGCGAGTTGGCTAAAAACTCTGATCCCAAACCAACGAAGAAAAGGCGTATGAACCACGCGCACACCTTCCTAGTTGTGGCAGTGGTCACCGACTCAATTGGGTATGAAGGTGTATTGGACTTTTGACCCTGTCCAAAGGGCGTATGATCTGATGAACTAGACAACGGCCCCCAATGGACTGCGGACTCTGAGCTCCGTCCTGTTGTCTTGCGGGTCTGGCTTTCTAGCCAAAGGCTTCGCATGGGGATTCCGCGCTTATCCCTCTTTTCCCGTCAGGGCACCCGGGAAGTAAAGTGCCCACACAACCTATGGACACATTCTTCAGAGTTCTTTTTGTTCATATGTTGTGGCACATTTGCCACTTCTCTGTAATTGGTTACATGTTGAATTATAATAACAATCAAGGATCGTGGCATTCTCGGATCTGGTCTAAGTCGTTGAGTACTCTTACTTTCAGACTGACAATGCTTTCAAAATTCCATACTTCCGTCTGTCTAATCCTTCATTCAAACTAGCAACCAAATGACAGTAGCTAAACCCGCTGCACAAATGTCCTTGATTAATGATTGTTTGAACTGAAGGTGTAAGTAACGGTAGAAACTAACAATGAGGTTGCTGCCCGACAATGGAATATTGATTGCGTGTTCACCTTTTCATATGGCGTACCGCTGTATATTGCACCTTATAAGTAAGGAAACGGGTAATCACGAGGCAGTACCGTACACACGGCTGCAGTATCCAATGTTGTTGATGGATTTTGGCTTTATACTTCAGTGGAAGATAGGTTTGAATAAAGAGGGTCTAACACGTAGCAGTAGAAGCAAGAAAAAAAAATAGTTATTGACTGAGAATGGAAAAGAGGTGTGAAAGTAGAATGCTTGATAAACAAGGATGAGAATTCCATTTTTAGTCAAGTTTCTAGGGATCCTCCTGAAGAATAGCTCAACTGTTGTAACAGAGTTTTGAAAGGAAATAAAAAAAGGGGAAAATTGTCAAAATGCTAATGTGTAGCAAAGGATTCGTGTTTCATCGGGATATATTTTTAAACACACGTGGAGAACACATTTCTTGAAGCCCCGAGTGAAGATCCAGTTCAAGCCGAACTTGAAAAGGACATGACTAATTTTCGCGTTGGTGAGGCAAACGGTAAACATTGACTTCGTCGAGAAAAAGTTAATTGGATTGGAATTCAAACAAAGGTAACCTTTAATAAAGAGAGAAGGAAAATGATAGTTGACTGGATTGCGTTTTCCAACTTCAGTCGTTCGTGCCTTCCAACCCACTAAACCTGTTAATCTGTGTTCATTGTTTCGATTTTTTATTAATCTGTGATCCTTGTTGCGTGTTGGCCCTGTCCGGTCACGGCTGACTAACAAGGTCCTTGCACACCGCCTGACGAAGTGGATGCGACCAGGCGCACAGTTGAGACAGCGTGTGCATTGTTCTTTCTAACCTTTTAACCCAAGTCGGCTGTCTTGTCTGATCAGTGTGTCAAGTGAGCTCGGACTATCGTGTTCTCGTGACTTTTACCCACGTAGCAAGGGATATAGCAAAAGGCGACGGGAATGGTTGAACAATCACAATTAATACAACTGTTATTCAAATAGCAAGAACACATTCAACAGTAATAACGTGCCTTGTTGGCACAAGAACAACGACAAACAGTGTTTTTCCCCGGCACTATCCGAGAAATCATCATCTCTGAGCTTAACAGATTCAAATCGCTCAACTGAACCGAACATTTCATACGCTCTTGTAAATTGCTAGCACGGGTTCAGTTACGACGCAGATAACGGCATAACATTCGAATCTTGGTAGCGACGATACGAGGGTGTCTTTCGGCATTGCATTGCATGAAGCGGCCGAAATGCGCCTTTTATTGCGGAATTTTGGTACACTAGAATACAGCCAGTACTGCAATTTCATTCTTTTGTATTGCATACCAGTGTGTGATGAACAACAGACGGACCGGACCCCGTAGTCACGAAGACCTGCTGCTCAGTGATGGTAACAGGCAACCTGATCCCCGGGACTTCGAGTGGCGAACTACATAAGGCCCCGATAAATTGGACGTGGTATAGATCCAGGTGACAGCAAACCTGCCTACCACCAAAGTTGAGTGGCCTTGGCTGGGCTCGAGCCTCGGACCACGGGGTCCAAGGTGATTTGTTTGCGTACCTTGTAGGCGCTGTAAGTCTTCAAATTGCCTTCATTGCCTGAAACTAGATGTAGCAGCTCAAGTACATGTATCTGGTACTAAATGTTCTGCACAACATTCTCGCCATGTGTTCATTGTAGTAACTGTAAATGCCGGATGATTGACCGACGGGTTAGCTTCGAAATGTATTAAATATGCTGAAATAATAAATTGATTGATTGATTTTTCTCTTATCCTCCGTGTAAACAGCTTCGATCTCCTACATCCTCCATCAAAAACCGCTCTCGACCACGAGAAGTACAGGAATTCACTGGTGCCAACGAAACGCTACGTCGTCGTGTGCAACGTTCACCTGCTATGCGTGAAATCAGAAGGCCCGAATTCACGACTCAAGTACGAAAGAATTCCGAGCCTCTTTTGAGAGCCCCGGCAGCTTGGTCCCGGTCATCCAGTGTGTGTGATAGCCGCCAAGAACTGCAACGCCAGCAGTGGATTAATGACGATCGTTCCAATTATGTTGACATCCCACAGAGTAATAGTAGTAATAGCGATAAAACCAGACGCACGGCCAGTCCTTGTGGTCCATTTGTCGCCTTGGATTCCGCATTCTTATAATGAATGCTATCCCGTTCCCTCCCGGTTTCAGGCTGTTAACATCACTGTATACCATCCAGCCATTCAACCAGTTCCTGTTACCACTACTTTGCTTCTGACTTTTCTCTCGTACTTTCTGTTTTTTCTTCTATCTTTAACATCTTTCATTTACTTCTCGTTGTATTGAATGGTACGCTGTGTTAGTGATGCATATCGGATTTGCTTACTCATCCGTTTTCCATTTTTGTACTTCACGTTTCCCTCTGTCTTCATTGATTCAGTTTTTTCTTTGTCACCGTCGGCTTTACGTGATCGACTGTTTCTTTATGTTGTCCTACGCGCCATTTTATTCAATCAGACAACAACTCGTATGCAGTCAACCCCTTTTCCGCTAGCCAAAGCTGACGAACCAAAGTGAACGCATTTATCGACTAACAGACGGGCTCATGCCGACTGGTTAAACGTATGTCCGAAACACCGGATCGCACATCTAAACCCAAGTCGATCGATGAATGAGATATCTGATTCACACACCCCAACTTACCCTTCCCATTTGTGTCCAATTTTCCTCTGTTCTCTTCATCCTCACTTTTACGATTTTTCACTCGCCTGTAAATTGTTCATCTCCTGACTGTCGTCTGCTGATCCGTGCGTGCATGTTCTATCCGCCCCCTCTAAAAATTAGCCCGTGATCCCTCATTCCCTGGATCACATAATCAATGTGATTCGGTCGTTTGCTTTTGTTGTTAGTCTCTCATTCTCTTTCCTTGTTGCTCTCGATCTTTGTAAGATCTTTATTGTTGTCTCTGTTTTGTCTGTTTCTCACTAGCGTTTGTGTAACATATCATTTTTTAAAATGAGACCTCCAATAGCATCCTGTTCATGTAAACGTTTTGTTTTTTGTTATTGTTCACTTGATGTGATTTGTACATACGATTTCCCAAACCATTAGTCCCAATGCAGATCGGTCCATGCAACCGATGTCGATGTTCGGTAAGAATTCTATGGGGCAAATTGAAAGCAGAGAATCTGATGTTTATCGGAACCACTCGGATCAAATCGACAATCGAAGTTAGGGGAATCTAATTTACATTTTCCGGGTGTAAAATGGCCAAGTGATAAAGTGAGATAATTTGTTGCGTTTTGTAGAATTAGATGTGTCCGCTAGTCTGGAAAACTATACACCTTGATTTTTCAATAGAAAATGTATGTTTTGATTAAATTTCCTATGGACAAGATGCTGGAGTGCCCACAAAGGATTACCTCCAAGATGATCAAGGGACTACATTGCTTCATCTGCTAGGAGTGATTACAATTATTGGGATGCTATTCTGTTCAATTAGTTTTGGTTCATCAAATATGGCAGAACTGAAGTCATCCTTGTCGTCCACTGCTCACCTTGTCGCCTTATATGCACCTTTGGGCAGGCGCATCGTTTCAAGTTAGTTATTCCAAAGTGTCGA